TCAAAATTCTTATGTTTTTTTGCTCATTGCAACCTTTTCTTTTGATGGTATTCTTTAAGTAAAGGTTTAGAAATTTTATTATTAAACTTTTTTCTAGACTTATAAAAATATCACCTTACTATTTCTACACTAAGCCAACATCTCTTTCTTTCTTTTTTTCTTGTATTTGAATAGCTGTTATATTATGTTCTTTCTCTGCCATCTTTACAATCTTGTCATCTTGTTTCGCAGAAGTTACATAAGGTCATCCTGGTCTTTATGAAGTACTTAAGTCACAATTTTCATGATATCTTTTAACCTAATAAATAGCTGTAGATTTACTACAATGTATTTGTTTAGCAATAAACTAAAACTAAATTTTAAACTAGCTAAATACTTACTTAAAAGATAATTTTATATCGTTTCTCTAAAGAAAGTTTTATTTTTCAAGTGAAAGTTTGATGATCATCTAAATTTTTTTTTGTATCATTAACACTTATAAATTTATAAGTAATTATGTATTGTATTACATTATATTTCTGAAAAATTTAAGGGGTAGTTATATAATAATTTTAGACGATCTTGAGAGGTCAGATATTTATGATCACTACTGTATATTTTACTTTCTTATATTTACAATATATAAATTCCTTTCAAATTACTTTATTACTTAGTGTAGCATCTTTCTAAAAAATTAGCAAATTCACAGTTTATACATCTTAATCTAATAGAACTATCATCATTCTTTACTACTCTTTTTTTTCTAATAGAAAAACTAAAAAATCTATTAAATTTAAAGCTTTAAACAGTTTAGTTTAATTCAAATTAGAGGCCAATTCAAATCTGTACTGAAAATATCAGTTCAGTTTAGTTTAATCTAAATCTAAACTGAATCGCAAACTAGTAAAAATCTGAATTGAACTGAAATTTTTAGATTAATCTAAAATTATAGTTTAATTATATACGAATCTTAAAAAAATCTATAATTTATATATAAAACTCTAGGAGAATCGCAAAAAAATCATGAATTTCTCTTTGAGGTTCACAAAAAATTGTGAAATTTAAAGAGAAATCACAATATTTGCTACTTTTCAAGAAATTCATGATATTGTTAGTGAAATTTGAAGAAAATTGCAAAAATTTATGATTCTTCAAGATTTTTGCATGATTTTGCAAAATTTGAAGAGAAATCGTATTTTTTTGTGATTTTCTAAGAGTTTTGCTAAATTTTTATGATTCTTTTAAAGAATTTGCAAACTTTGCAATTCTCTAAGAGTTTCACGATATTTTTTACAAAAATTTAAAAAGAAATCATAAAAAAATTGCAATTCTCTAAGAGTTTTGCTATACTTAGAAAACTTATTAGAGAATTCGTAAATTTTGCGATCTTTTAAGAATTTTGCATATAATCAAATTGAACTTATAGATTAATCTAAAATTTTTAGTTTAATTTAAATATTTTTCAATTCAGATTAGAATTATAATCTGAAAATAATCTGAATTGAACTGAAAATTTTCAGATTGAATTTTATGCAATCTAAAACTGATCTGAACTAAATTGATCTGAAAAATCTTTGAATTAATCTGAATCATTTAAAGCTTTAGTCAAATTCCAAGCAATAATAATAAGCTATATCAAAATTTAGAAATAATAGCCCTTTATAAAAATTAGAATAAATATTTAATTTGAGCAAGTTAGAACTAAATTAAATAAAATTTATTCCTTTTACTTAAATAAAGAAATGTAAAAAGATAATAATAAAAAACAAAAAATAATAAACAGATATCTGTACCATTTTGTATATTAAATCTAGGTATTTTATTTATATTAAGGTTATTGATTTTGGATTGTAAATAATAAGAGAGAGTATATGAATTGCTAGTATCAAAAAATTCATATTCTATTAACTTAAAAATCTTGTGATTATCAACGCTTTCAGTAAAAAAATTCATTACATATAATTTAAAATTCAAAGAAATGTAAAAAAGTGTATAAAAGTGAATAAAATTTATTTTATATAAAAAGTTTATTATAATTTATGATGAAATAGTTACATATCATATTATATAATCAGTGCTTCACATTCATTATATATAAATGAATTCTTTAATATAATAAGTCTAATAAAAATTTATATACTATATAATTATATTTTTTTAAAAAATTTATTATTTAAATAATATAATACTTTAAATAATACTTTTAAATATTATTATAATTTCTAATATTAAAAAAAGGAAAGCTTATCAAATCAAAATAATTTTAAGGTATATTTAATAATTTAAAAAATAAAAAAAATATAATTAATAATAGTAATTTATAATAAAATAATTATATTTTTATTTATTATAAAAAGTAAAATTAAAAGATAAATTAATTATTATTATATAAAGTATATAAATATATATATTAAATTTATCTAAATCTTAAATTTTTTAATTAAATATATTAATTTAAAATAAGAAGAAATAATTTAAAAAGTTTATCAAAATAAAAAAATAAAAAGTATTTATATAGGTTAGAATTAATTAATATTAATATAGAATAAATTATAAGAAAGCATTTAAAATTAAAATATAAAATTAAAGATTAGTAATATTTATAAATATTAATAATTTATTTTGTAATATAATACTGTATATTTATACTATATTTAATTATATAAAAGAAATGATTAAACATTTATCATTTAAAAATGATTTTAATAAAAAAAGAAAGAATAATTAAAATAAAAAAATTTTTTATTTATAGAATATATTTATTATATTAATAATAAAAGTCATTATAGCTAAAAAAAAAAATTTGTGAATTCTTAAAAATTCAAGTTATATTTTTAATATACTAAAAGAAGTATTTATTATATTAATGAAATGCATTTGAAAATTAGTCTATAAATAATAAATAATTATGTTAATTTATTATACAACAATTCACTTTAGGTATTACAAACCAATTTATATAAAACAAAAAAAATATAAATTAAACCATTCGTCCACCTCAATTATAATTTTCCTAACCTAATACCACCATCGATTCTAATAATTTCGGCATTCATGTAAATATTTTCGATTAAATGAATTACCAGTTTATTAAATTCACCATCAGATTTACCAGGCCTAACAGGAAACTCGGCTTGTTTTAGAAGTTTTTGTCTAGATCTTTCATTCATGATAGAAATCATTGGAGTTTCTAAAATAAATAGGGGTCCAAATCAACATATAACTTTCACTAACTTTTAATGTAAAACAAAAAACAAATAATTGTAAATACCAAATGGACCGGGAGCAACAGTGACGACTCTAATACCAAATTTTGATAAATCCCTCGTCATAGGCAAAGTCATTGAAGCTACACCTCCTTTAGATGCAGAATATGCAACTTGTCCCGTTTGTCCATCTTGATAAGCTATAGATGATACATTTATTATTACGCCTCTTTCTCCTAATTGAAATATTAGCCAACCCAGTTTTTTACATTAATCATAAATTTAATATAAAAATGATTTGAAAAAAAATGGGGGATTACCTTCTTCTAATGGTTTTTGTTTAACCATTTGTGCCGCTACTAATCTACATACATTAAAGGTACCAATCTAACAACAAAATTATCTTTAGCAAGTTATTTGATCATTCAACTAAGATTTATTCAACTTAACTAACCAGATTAACATTAACGACCAATTTAAATGAATCAAGATCTAATGGCTTTCCATTTGATCCGACAATCTATTATCCAAATAAAAATTTTTAATTTTTTAAAAAAAAATTAAATTTCAATTTAGAAATCCAATTAAATATATACCCTTCCTACACCAGATATGCCACCACAATTTATAACTCCACGAATATTTTCACCAAACTTTTCAATTGCTTGTTGAATAACTTTAGTTATTTCTTCCTATACAATAAAAAAATAAAATAAAAAATATTAATCAGTGATTATAGTGATAGTTTTTTTTTTTTTAAAAAAAATAATAATTACTTCAGATGTTATATCAGCTTGAATGAATAAAACGTTCTTTTCTCGTCCTTTAAAAAATGATTTTCCATCATCTTTCAAATCAATTACCTAATAATATTAAAATTGAAATGCAAGCTCTTGAGTATTCGTTATAATCGTTATTATTTTATTATTTTGATATTACTTACCACCACATTTGCTTCTAGTTTCAATAATTGTTGAGCTGTTGATAATCCTAAACCACTTCCTCTGTCGGAATATTGAATTATTATTTGATTCTTGTTAAAAAAAAAGGATTGTTTGATATTTACCCTCCAGTAACGATAAAAGTGTTTCCTTTAATATACATGGCTCAAAATTTAAGGTTTTTTTTAGCATGATATTTATAATTTAATAATTTAAGGCATTGTCATATGGTGTAACATATTTGAACTTTAATTCGTTATGGTATATTAACGTCATCACGCGCTTACTTGACAAAGTTAGTAATCGGTAGTTCCATATTGGGAACAAAGACTGACATTTTTTTACAGCACAATAATTTCCATATAAGGAAAGCATCGCTGGAAGTTTTAATGCATTATAAAACGTGCCGATAATTTAGGCCATTCGTCAATTTATTCTAAAAGATTATCAGAGACCAGACATTTATCATAATACCTACACCTAGTCACATGCCGAGAAACACTCGACTCGGTACACTCCGTAAATTCATGAGCACAATGATGTAGTTTTTATGTTTCTTGTGGGCAAGTAAAAATTCATTTTATGGTAATTTTCGAGATTGATTATCGTTATTATTTAAAGTCATATGTTATAAATGTTTATTCCAAATTAGAAATGACATTCTGCATGAATATGTACTAAGATCACATGGATAATCACCATAATTTGCTTATAAGATATTTCAAAATTTGATAATCAATTTTTTTTTTAAACGTTTATTTCGTTATATAAGGGTAATAAAAAAAAAAAAAAAAAGTTTTATCAGATATTTAACTTCAACTTTTCATTTCACTTACTAATTGAAAATAAATTATATTTTATTTAAAATACAATAATGTGTGGTATTACGGCATTATCATTAGCTGATCCAAATGCCTCAGCTAGCTTAGAATTATTTGAAGGTCTTCAAATCCTGCAGCATAGAGGACAGGTATTATAACATAATTTTAAATAATTGTATAATTTTAATATTAATTCGACAATTAAATTGAAAATTTTTTTTTTTTTTTTGGTAATGGAAGGATGCGGCAGGAATTGTCACGTGTGGACATAAAGGAAGATTTTATCAATGTAAAGGAAATGGAATGGTAAGAGATGTCTTTAATCAAGAGCACCTACAAAATTTAGTTGGAAGTCTCGGAATTGGTCATGGTACGCGTATTCCCTTTAACTTAATGTGGGTGTATTGAGTAATGAACATTATTAGATCGGGACGTTGAAATATTAGCAACTCGAAGTCGTTAACGTCGTGAACGATAATTTTTCTATTATGTACCTTTAGTGCGATACCCTACAGCCGGTTCATCTTCAAATTCCGAAGCACAACCATTCTATGTTAATAGTCCATATGGAATTGTATTTGGTCACGTACGTAATTTATTTAATGAAATATTTTTATATATAAGAAAAAGTCATTCATAATCTCATTTATTTACACGAGTCATTACCTTTTTTAATGTATAATAGAATGGAAATTTAATTAATGCACGAGAATTACAAAATTTTTTGGATTTTAAGGCTCATCGTCATATAAATACAGATTCAGATTCAGAATTGTTATTAAATGTGTTTGCAAATAATTTACAAGCAACGGACAAATTTAGGTATTTTACTATAATACCTTGCAAACATTGTTTTCGTTTATTATTCGTTAATATTTCCTCACCTTTTTTTTTTTTTTTAAAAAAAAAATATATATATTTATATTGCTTAGGATTAATGAGGAGGATATTTTTACAGCAATAAAAGGAATTTTTGAACAATGTATAGGTGGATATGCATGTGTAGCAATGATTGCAGGTTTGTTGGAATTTACATATATCTTTTAAGGTGGTACTTTTATTAATGATCGGTTAACTTGTATTTTTTAGGTTTTGGTATAATTGGATTTAGAGATTCGAATGGAATTAGGCCGATATGTTATGGAAAAAGAGAACATACAAGCGGAACCGATTATATGTTTTCATCAGAAAGTGTAGTATTAGACGCATCTGGCTTTTCCGAAGTTACTGATATAAATCCAGGTATTAGAAAACATTGAATAAAATTTTCAATTTATTTCAAAAAATGAATTTTTTAATAATCATTTCTATATATGTACTAGGCGAAGCAATAATTATAACAAAGACAGCAATAACAAAAAGACAATTAGTTGAACCAATAAACTTTACCCCTTGTATATTTGAATTTGTTTATTTTGCGAGACCCGATTCGGTAATTGATAATATATCGGTTTATAGATCAAGGTTAGAGATGGGTGAACATTTAGCTGATCAAGTTATAAAAAAATGTGGAAATAACATGGACATTGATGTCATAATTCCGGTGAGTACTCTTTGAACGAAAAGAAGTGAATAAATTTTTCTTTTTTTTTTTTTAAAAAAAAAAGGTAAACTAAAGTGATGAATTTTTTTTTATTAACTTAGGTTCCTGATACTAGTCGGGTAGCAGCATTACAAGCATCTTATAAATTAAAACTTCCTTATAGAGAAGGCTTTATTAAGAATCGTTATGTTGGCCGTACGTTTATAATGCCCGGACAACAAATGAGAAAAAAAAATGTTCGACGTAAATTAAATGCCATGGCATTGGAGTTTTCCGGCAAGAACGTTCTAATTGTTGACGGTACGTATATGAAGAAATGGCTTGTGGGAGATGTATTCATTGAGGAGAATGATTAAATAATTTTAAAACATTTTTCGTTGTATTAGACTCGATCGTTAGAGGAACTACTTCAAAAGAGATCGTTCAGATGGCACGTGAAGCTGGCGCCAAGAAAGTTTATTTCGCATCTTGTGCTCCGCCTATTAGGTATGACATCAAAAATACTTTTTCTTTGTACCGTATTATTCGTTAAATTAATTAAGATCTTTTATAGGTATCCTAATGTTTATGGTATTGATATGCCATCCCGCCAAGAACTTGTAGCATATAATCGAGATGACGATTCAATTGCTAAAGAAATCGGAGCTGATCTTGTAATATATCAGGTAAATTATCTACGAGCAAAATTTCTGAAATAGAATTGTGTATATTTTTATTCTTTTCTTTTTTTTTGTGCAATTCTGATTTAATTTTGATTTTTCCTCTTATTTTAACAATCAAGGACTTGGATGATTTATTGGCATCATGTAAAAAACTCAATCCAAGCATTCAAACATTTGATTGTTCGGTATTTAATGGACAATATATTACGGGGATTACAAAAGAATATTTAGAACACTTGGAAAGTTCTAGAAATGATTCGGCAAAAAATTCCAATGATAGATTACAGTCTCCGGATACTATTGGGTTACATAATAATTTTGGTTATAATGGTAGATCATAGGTTTTATGGTGTATGGTATCTTAAGTCAAAAGGCCATTCATTGTATATAGTTTTTCGTCTAATTTTCTTACGAGTATAAGTATTCCGAAATTTTTGGTTTTGTTTTTGTATTTATATTTAGAAAGACTTCATTTTATATATATATAATGATAATGAAAATTAATAAATACTAAGAATTTGATAAAAACCTTATTTTTATCTTCGACGAGAATTTACATTTCACGTGACGATGCGAATGTTCGTGTAACCTGACATAAAATATATTCGAGAATCATTTTCACCGTTTGGTTTTTCAATGATGAGTTATGGAAGAAGCATCAAAACAACGTAAAGAACGTCTTGAAGCTTTAAGAAAACGTAAATTAGGAAACGAACCAGAAAATAATAAAGAGGAAGTCAAAGAGGAGGGTAAAAATGAAAAGTATGTTATTTATTTTTATTTTTATTTATTTTTTTTTTTTTTAAAAAAAACAAATAAATTCTTTTCAATTCAATCACAACCTATTTTCTTTTTTTTTTTTTAATCTTTGTGTTAGACTGCCATTGAAATTTCGTAATTATACACCAATAAATGAGGATATAAAAGCCATATCAAAAATCAATATTTCAACTCCAAAGGATATAACGGAAACCTTAGAAAAAACAGTTGAAGAAGTTACAAAACAAGTTAAAGAGGAGGAAGAAAAGAAACGTGAAGAAGAAGTGGTAAGTTAATAAATAAATTTCTTTTGATGGAAAGGTTATAGAGAATTTCCTAACGAATATTCTTTATTTTTTTTAGGATCTATTTAATTTAGCGCCCAAAAAACCAAATTGGGATCTTAAGAGAGATGTAGAAAAGAAATTAGCCAAATTGGATAAGATTACGCAAGCTAGCATCGCCGAATTAATAAGTAAATGATTGATATTTAAATTTTATTTTATTTTATTTTGATTGTTAATTTAAGGGAATCGATTAAAAACAAATCTTTTTTTTTTTTTATAAAATGTAAAATTAGGGATTAGATTGCAAGGAGAATCAAATGAGAATTCGACAGTTGATTTGGTTGACGCCATTAATGCACAACAAAAAGCCGATACTGATGGGGAAGTGTCTGATTAGAATTAAATGTTGGGAAAGTTTTAAAATAAATCATCATCAATTCCATTGTACTATAAAAAAATAACAATATAGAAGATTTCATTAGCATGTCTAAAGTAGAACAAAAAAATTTCTAAAAGCACGACAAAATTCTTATTAGATTTGATGTGATATAAGAATCGACGATAAAACCATTCGGGAACTTGATAAGGGGCCAAGAAGATTATTTGTTCGGCGTAATGCCAATTTTTAAAAAGTTAAAATGATTCGAAATTAAGTATGGAAATTCCGATTAATATCAGAAAATTCATCAATTTTACAAAGCAGAAAGGTGCTTTTATTTATGTAATTTTTTACATGATATATTTACTATGAACATCGGTCGAAATAAATGTACTACCGTAACGAAATTAATAAAAGTTTAAAGATCCGTGTCAATCCGAAACATTCGAACTTTTAATTTGATATACCCGATTGAGATTCCGTTATAATTCATTCTTTATAATTTCACAAATTATTTCGTGTTACGGTAAATTTTCGTGTGACTGAATCAAAATCTTTAATTTTTATCATTTGATTTCTATTAACGAATAAAAAATGATGAATTTTTAAAAGATAAATAAATTATTTTTTCAAAAATCAACAGTATATGTAGGAATGTTAACAGTTAAAGATAAACCAGTTTTAAACTGGTTGTATAACTAAACTGATTCAGTTTGATTTCAAGATTAAGAATCATGATAAATATTGATTTTTATCACGTGATTCAATATGGTTAAACCATTTAGTTCAGCCGACGGTTTAACTGATGCAAAACGGAATGCCAAGATAAAATTATCATAATATTCATTTTTTTTTAAAAAAAAAAGCGCAACGCATTTATCATAAGGGAGCTTTAGTTTAAACAAAGGGAATGAATATCTTATCCTATCCTTTTATTTGTTTACTTTAGATCACTCATATTTTAAAAAATTATTGGTTCATATTATAATTATTAGCAAGGCAAATAAAAAATTCCTTGCAATCTACGAATTTTTGCATACAATTAATAATTTGTAGGAATGTTTTAATAAAGTTTTATTTGGATCACATACCATCATTTAATCTAAATTTTGGTATTTGATGGGTTTCAAAGCCAAGACATTTATTATACAGACCCCGCCAAAAGTCTCTGGATGCCATCTTTTAGGCTTTTTCGAACTAATTACATCATGAGACTGTATAAAATTGCGGCTGTATAATGTTCCGGCCATTGTTTACTTAAATTAAACCAAATAAATACGTGTTTGTTTGTTTATTTTGATTTTAGTTCAAAATAAAATTTTATCTTTTTAAAACAACAAAAATGTCCAAAGAATTAACAATAGAATAACTCAGTGGCATAAATTTTTGTCATCAACGCAGTGATAGTTATCAAACTATTGCCACAACTATCTATTGAGAATCTATGGGCTGAAGTCAAGAAGAGCATCTGTGAAAGAAAAAAATTGCCTTCCAACCTTGCTCAACTCGATCAACATATTATAAGGGCATGGAAATAATTTCCGATACAAAATATCAAAAATTTGGTTAATAGTATGCCATAACGAACTTGGGCTATGATTGAAGCAAATGGAGGCCCGACCAAGTACTAATTATTTAGTACTAAATGTGTAGCATATCGTACTTTAATAAATATATTAATAAATATTTTTTAATAAAATTTAAAAATTCCAAGTATTATATTGAGCCAAAAAATGTTTAGAGACTTTTGGCAGGGGTTTGTAATAACCAATTCAATGCCTACATTAAAACCTATCATTACTAACAAAAATCCCATATTATGTAAAGTTTAAATTAGGCAATAACAAGTTCTATAAGGGAATAGGCTCCCACGTCAGCCTAAGCTGACGACTTCTTTTCTTTTTTGTAAGATATCGTAGAAGAATATTATGAGTACCATTTATATCTCTATCAAGATTTATTTTACATTGAGGACAGCAAAATTCTTTGGATCCACCTAGTTTTTTATGAATATAGTCACAGAATCCGCAAGTTTTGCTTGTGTATTCTTCTGTATATATTACGACTTAGCACCATGAATACTCATGTGACTTATAGATCAAATGCTATTAAAAGAGAAAATGTGACCATGTACATATGGCTCGAGCAGTCTTAGAACCAATATGTCATTACCCACGTCGAACTATTTCCTGAGTGTGAAATTCAGGTAGTAATATTATACGATAATTTTCACACAATTATTTAGCCAGCTTATAATGATAATCATTCACAAGACAGCAGATTTTCTTATAAATTTATAATATAACATGATGTAATCTACAATTAAAAGTAGTAAATACATTAAATTATAAAAATATTATAATTAATTGATTAATAAATTTTACCTGTAACGTTTTCGCTTATTTTTTTCTATAAATTTGATCACGTTTGCTTTGGAGTTTATCATATATATGACATAATCTGTAAATGCGACCAATATTATTTTTGTCTTATTCAATAGCCATTTCACTTGGATCATAACCGGTCATAAATGTACGTACATCTGAATCCAAAGAAATCACTCCTGATTCTTCCTATTAAATTATTAAACATAAAATTAATTGAAGTTTTATTTAATAGATAATATAAATAATAAAAAAATAGACAAAAACCTTTTAAAATATAGGATCTTGGTTTTCAGCCTGCATTTCAAGTGGTCTAAGTATACAAAGATAATATTCACCAAGCCGATTCATAACAAGACAGCTATTATATTCAAGTTTTTTTGGAAGAGATTCTGATGACTTGATTTTAAGAAGGAATGAATATTCACTATGAGATTTACTTCAATGCTTTGATAAGACTGCGATAGACTATTGAAAATCCTTTTTGAAATAGAACTTCATTTTGAAATTTTATGATTAGCAGCAAAACTGAAAGAAAATCCTTTAAGCAAGTCATTCATTGCTTCATCATGAATGTCATAAAGAGTTTTGAGAATCCATTTGAGTTTCATATCATTGAAATTTTTAGCGTTTAAACATAGTGCACATAGATCTTTCTTTCTTATTTGATCCTTCTTTTTCGATCGTGATAAGACACTGATTATATATTCATCATACTGTTCCCATCCATCTTCTGAGTTTTAGCCGCTCTTGCTGGTTGGGATAAATGCAAATCCATTGTACCTTGCCTGCTAGAAGTTTCTTCACTTCCTTCTTGGAACTCTTAAATCTCTTGAGTAGCATCTCTTCTCCTTCTGTAATTTATAGCTGAATGTAATCCATTATATCATGTCACAAACACTGTGATGATTGCAAGGAAGTCTTCTGCAAGTTCTCCAACTTTACTACTTTCAGCACTAACATTTGTACTGAGTATCACGAGCTTAGTCAAAGAATCATTCCACAAGCTCAAATCTGAAATAATACAATCAGTCCTAATAGAAAAGTTAATAAAATAAAAAAAATAATAATAAATCAAAGCAAATAAATAATTAAACTCAAACTTTTCAGGTAACTATCACTTCTTCGATTCTTCTTGCATATATACATTTCAGAAGGAAAACAAACCTCCTGCATTTCCAGTTGAGGCTGATATAGCAGAACTTGGCCTTTTGCGTGGGTTGTGTCTGGTTGTTTTTGAAGATTTCTTGTATATCAGTTGAGATGTCATATATCTCCTTAATTTTTATTTGCACTTTGAGAGTCGTTAAAAATATGGTCTTTATTTAGGAATGAAAGGTTGACAGTAGTACTGTATTGCTTAAAACTATATTTGATTTTAAACTTTAAACTTTACATAACCATATTAATAATTAGTAAGCTCAAGTAATACGAAAATATGATTTATTCTAGAATGTTCAAAATTATAGCAACGGTTCAAATAGTATTGGAAATCCCCCAAAATTGGTTGTAAATGATTTATCCAAAAAGCATTCTCTTAAACCTCAAAAAAAGTGATTTTTAATATGTGAATTATCTTAAAACCATTTTATTCAATTTATTGTGTAGTACTAGAAAAAGAGAACTGGATTTGATTCGAAAAGAAAACTTTAAGAATTGTACTGTAAAATTTAAATAGATAGTGAATATAAACGTGCAGAAATTCATTCATTCTTTTATGTTAGCGTTCACTGAAATGATCAAAATATTTTATCTAATCAAAATTACTCACTGGCCTATACTGTATGGTACAGTTTTAAACGTTCTTTTGATTGAATGATAACATAGATATTGAAGGGGCTATATTGGATGAAGACGATACAGTAACTCCTTCGTTTCTTTGTATAATAAAATAAGGTTTTGATTATTAATACAGTTGTCAATAATTGCTTAGTATTGCTTATCATAATATCATTATCAATGAAAATCATATAAGACTCAAAAATCATTCAAAATCGTAAACTCAAACTCTTTCCTCTATATTTGTCTTCATATAAGACAACTAGAAAATTTGGAATCTCATCAGATACCTTACGTCATTGGCTAAATCAAGGAAGAATTACTGCTAAAACATTTTTTTCTAGTACTCACCTTTATGACATATCTTCCATTTTCCAAAGTTGACTTTCCAAGATATCAATTATACCACTGTCGCCGTTACCACTACTATCACTAAAAAAGGGTTCCCTTATGCATAGGTCTCTAGTGTTGAGCAAAAAGAGAATCTTAAATGGCAGAAATAACTCTTTAGATCCTGATACTCAATCTACAAACTCATCAACAACATAGCTCAGGTATCTACTTCAAACGACTGGGACTTAAGACCTTATTGAAATGGATAAGTCGCAGAATAGTCTCAAAAATTGTGGTTACCTATCGTAACTGACTCTGCCAGTTTGCCTTCAACCTTATTCAGTATGTGCTCTTTTTTCACACTATACAATATGTGATTTTCTTCAATAGTATGACCTTTGATGAGCACAAATCTTCCCAGGATATCCTTGTGATCATCACTGTCTACATCTGTTAAATATAAGGAAAAAGAGCTACTTTACATCGACGAGTATGTCAAAATAAGCGAAATAAGCATGAAGA